CTCGATTTAAGCCGGTTTCCCATTTGTGAATACAGTATATACCATCAGTGACGGAAATGGCCACTGTTGCGAAGATACCATTGTCAAAACAACGCCATCTCTCCTCCGTGCAGTACAGCTGATACTAATGAGATAGGCACCTGCAAATTCAGCAAATAAAATCGGAATTCGATTAAACGAGTGCGTGGAGTTCTTATCAGTTGCTGGACAGTTCATTTCTTCAGTCCTGAACCTTTTTAACACCACCGGGAACCCTCCTTCTACATGTACGAATAACATGGACTGCAGACACACACCTATGTTCCAGCACTGTCCCCTGAAAGATACCAGTGCCATTGTCGATCCACGAAGACAGCTCATCGGTACTGAGATGCAAAAATATATAGGTAATAGCTAAGTGTCTTCCTCAATTTACAGAGTGCAAAATGTTGGAAACACGCTACGTCCTTCGTGCGCCTTTGCTCTTTGGCCAATGTTGCACATCCAAGGAAGTTCACAGTCTCGACCGCCATAAAAACTTCCAAAAATATATTGGTGCAAAGATTACCTAATCATCACCATGGTCCAAACAGTGTTGTCTTGCTGTGTTTCTTCTGTTCCTCTTTCAAAAACTCTGGATCTTCCTTGGCTTTCTTGTAGAATTCCCAATCGAATGATATTGGCTTATCGGATTCAATGCTCGCTTTGCTGTGATGCACAACATTCGGCATTTCCATTCGACTCTTATCAGTGTGCCAGAAGCCTTTTTTCCAAAATGTGTAATCAAAGTAACCATCGGCAACTTTTCTTTTGTGCTCCTGAAATTCTTTGTCCGTTAATCACCGTCATCCACGTGTTTCCTGCGCAGCACTGCAGCAGCCTTTTGTCAGATCCAGAAGGAACGCGAATTTGATGGTAAACGATTACAATGCTTGTCCCATTCCTATTTTTTTTTTTTTCTAATAAAGGATAAAGAGAAAATGCTGAAGTAGAAAAAACGAAGAAGGGAGGAAAAACGAAGTAAAAAGCGAAGTGAAAAAGGGAAATGGGAATATGAAAATATTTGTAATAGGTAAGAAATGTTTCGGTCCATAAAGTCGTATACATTTCTTAACTCCAATTGCTACATTACCTTGAAGAAATCAAACAGTTAAAAAACAAGCTACTTCCGTTCCTTCATCGACTTATTCGGACAAAAAAAAACTTACCCGGGCGCCGGTTAAGTACCATCATAATCCATGACTTCATTTAATTTTGAACCACTAATCAGACAGGCAGTGCTTTCTAACCCCAAGTACATCTCAGTGGTGCTCCAGTGCTTCCAAGGCATTACAACTTCTATGCGGGCAGAGGTGCAAAGAAATCCTAATGGGATGCCGTGTCGCCGGTTGCAAAAGCAAATGTTTACTTTCACTGCTTCTTCGCGTGCTTGCATAATTTCCGGATGTCGCCTCTCCCAAATCATCCGGTGCTTTTGCTTCATATATGCATCTCGAACACAGCCTTCTTGCCCCAGTTCACCGTATTTGATGAAGAAGTTCAGTTCGCTTTCTTCGACATCCTCTATCAGCTAAAACAATCCCAGCTAAAGCACTCCCAGCAAACATCAAAGCCAATGTTTCCCTCAAAAAAAAAAGCAAGCTAATAAAAGCATTTCATCACTGCAGCATCGATTCGCAAGCACCAGATGCTCTGTCTGATGAATGCCATGACTGATAACGCCGTGACCACAATAAATGCTTTGGATTTCGATATTGATGCATCACTACGTAAGCGGCACGGAAAAAAAAACGAAAAAGAAATTAAAAAGTATTTAAAATAACACGCACATGTTATTTGTGGCGAACAGGTGACCAAAGGAAGCGGAAGAATACGTTACCTGCGCGCAGGGAACAAAATTTGGAGAGTAGTAATCCATGCATCTCGAAAGACGCAGACGTAATATATCCAAAATATGCTGATCAATCAACCTGTTTAAATGGACTATTCATAAAAAAGATATTAACCGGAAAATAACTGGAATATCTCCCCGAAACTGTCCAGAAAATCAGACCGTTTATCCCGATAAAATGCTTAGGAGATATATAATAACCACGTAGTTTCCGATATCCATGCAAAGGAAAAATTACTTCTTGGATGGATTTCAAACAACTGGGAGGCGCAAACGATAAAAGCAGAAAGGAAAGGGAGGAAAACAGGAAGGGGGAAAGGCTACAAACTGGAAATGTGCAGCTCAGGGGTGGACAGGCCTGAAAGAGCTCTGTCTAGCGCGTGAATGCATCCCAGTAACGTCAGTACTACAGACTCATACTACACACGACTTTCATGAACCTGCTTAAAAAAACCCCCTTAAAATGACCCAGAGTAAATCAACTTGAGGTAGACAACAGAGTGCAACCCCTCATCGAAATTCTTATTAACTTGTTACGGTACACAATAATTTTCCAAATCTAACTTATCGAGTCGAAATTGTGTGTTGGCCTCATAGAAGCACGCCAAATCATCAACAGCACATTCGTCTATTTCGGGAACTCGATTTAGCTTGCGATGATAGTACGGAAGACGATATTTATCATTCAGCGGTTCCACTATTTTCTCTGAAATACGCGCTGTCCACAACACACAGGGCGTAACGATCTAAAATTCTAAGGAAGACTGACTGTTGTGAACGAACCTCGAAACCACGTGGCAGGGATATCGACGGCTCGATGCGCATAATAGAGCAGCCGAGTGTAGAAGCTCCCCTCACTTTCAAGCCTGCGCAACTGAAATGCCATGTCTGGGATTTAGTTGCATGAGAGATCCGTTCTCATGTCTAAGACGGTGCAAGAGAATGAAAGCATCCTAGTGCGGCAGCAACATCAGATTCCCACACCGATTCGTTCGAGCACTGAGTGAAACGAACAGCACGATGAGGAAGGCTGCAGGAAAACAAACCACGTCATACGAATGCTAAATTTTTAA